CCTGATTGTATGGTCTGATGTAGCCTGCTAGCAGACCTCCCTGATTGTATGGTCTGGTGAGGCCTGCTAGCAGACATCCCTGATTGTATGGTCTGGTGAGGCCTGCTAGCAGACCTCCCTGATTGTATGGTCTGGTGAGGCCTGCTAGCAGACCTCCCTGATTGTATGGTCTGGTGAGGCCTGCTAGCAGACATCCCTGATTGTATGGTCTGGTGAGGCCTGCTAGCAGATATCCCAGATTATATGTTCTGCTGTGGCATGCTAGCAGACCTCCCTGTTTGTAAGGTCTGGTGTGGCCTGCTAACAGACATCCCTGATTGTATGGTCTGGTGTGACCTGTGTGCAGATGTCTCTGTTTGCTCCTCCCCGATCCCTCTCCATACAGCTGAACCTTGCCTCTTATTACCCCCCAGCCCCCGTAGCCAGATCCTGCAGCTGAAGAAGGAAAGATTGGTGTATATACCCGAGGAGCATCCATTTGGCCTCCTCCCAGCGCCTATCCACGTCGGTCAGTCTCCTTCTTCCTGTCTCTCTCTGTCAGTCTGTGGCTTTCTTTGTGTTTTTATTGGTATATCACTGCTTTTTTGCTATTTTGTTGTCTGTCTGTCTTATCAGAATGCCTGTTTAGTTGAAAAAGTGCTTTTATGTCTTTGTTAATCTGCTTTATTTTTGTGTGACTTGATGTATTTTTTCTTTGTGAATTTCAGCCTTTTATCAGTCTATGTCTGTCCACTTTAGGCTCTGAGTATCTCTTTTTCAGTCAGTTTCTCTGCCTGTCTGTCAACCTGTTGTCTTTATGAGGAAAAGGAGCAAGTCCTGCAGGCGGGATGTTTTACCATCAGATCTGAATTCACATGATTTTATTTTTATGCATGGATTGCATTAGGCTTTGTAGGAAAGGGTGACAAGAGAAGTGCTGTCGTCTTGCCTGTCATGGTCATAGCTGAGAGGAGCTGCTCACAGCTTCATCTGACGAAGTCTTTTAATGTGTCTGGTAGGGAAACACCTGAGACTAAAACGGAGGGACTTCCAGCTGCCTTATGACATCCTGTGGTTATGGAAACATGATCAGGTATGGTAGTGGGGTGGTGGGTCTGACTCCTGCCTTTGAGGTCTGGGGAGGGGCAGCTAGCAGCATCATCATCCTCATCATATGTAGGTAACGGTGTCATTGTGTCCATGTCTCTTCCAGCTGTATAAGAAGCCTGACGTTCCACTGTACAAGAAGATCCGCTCCAGTGAGTACCAAACCTGCTCCCACAACACCATGTTGTCCAAACACCACCTGTTGCATTCATGTATGTGTGTGTGTCTTACATGCAGATGTGTATGTGGATGTAAAGCCTCTATCTGGGTATGAAGCCACTACCTGTAACTGCAACCTGCCCCAGGACCCCAGTGAAAAGGGCTGCACAGAGGACTGCCTAAACAGGTGAGCATCATACCTTTTTTAAACACCATACCCTCCTCACCTGATCAGGTAAACACAGCCATACCCTCTTTACCTGAACAGGTAAACACAGCCATACCCTCCTTACCTGATCGGGTAAACACAGCCATACCCTCCTCACCTGAACAGGTAAACACAGCCATACCCTCCTCACCTGAACAGGTAAACACAGCCATACCCTCCTCACCTGAACAGGTAAACACAGCCATACCCTCC